GAAGCTTTTGAGGTACAATAAATGATTCCACAATGACGTACATGACCTGATGAATGGATGAACTCAATAATTTGCTTTTCAGAATTTGTATTTTTCTTCATAACTTCGTATCTTAAATTTGGCCGATTGAAGCCCTGAGTGATAATTGCACAGTTTTCCATGCGTAGATTGTGTATCACATCTTCTTTCACTCTGCTAGTCGCTGTTGCAGTGAGTGCCATCATTGGTACGCCCGGAAATTTTTTTCTTAATTGGCCCAAATCTTTATAATCAGGACGAAAATCATGACCCCATTGACTTACACAATGAGCTTCGTCGATTACAAACCGAGCTAAAAGTCCACGTTTGTAAAGTAATTGAATCGATTCGATAGCTTTTACACTTTTCCCCAACATCTCAGGTGTTAAATAAAGTAAAACAAGGCTAGGTGAGGCCTTTTGCATTTCAAAGAATACTAAATTTCTGCGATCTAGACTTTGATTCCCTTGCAAATCTAAAGCAGGAATTCCGAGACTATTTAATCGCAAGATTTGGTCTTGTATCAGTGATAGTAAAGGAGATATAACTATTGTTATTTTGTGAGATCGTTGATTGTCTAGAACCGCTGGCAGTTGATAACAAAGACTTTTGCCTCCACCAGTTGGCATTAGAACAAAGACATCTTGATCATTTAGAGCAGCATCGATAGCTTTCAATTGATTCTGACGAAACGTGGCCAACTTGAAAGTTTCATGTAGTACACGATAAACAGGTGAATCTGTTGGCGATACAGTGTTTTTATCTTTATCGAAATATAAAGATGTTGAAGGATCACGATCCATAGTGGGAGTATCATTTTCTATGGATTCAGACAAGCGAGAACTGAAATCAGTTGGTGATGATGATACAAATGAACTCATTGTATCACGTTCTAATTGTTGCATTCTTTTCTGTATTGCTTCAATCCGTTTTTTTGAATTTGCTCGAGTTATTTTTAACAAAGAGACACTTGAATTATCATATTTCTTATCCCCTTCAACAATTTCATATAGTTCTTCAGAGATTTTGCATTTGATAATTTTAACTGAAACTAACAAAGATTGTAATTCGTTAAATGGCATGTTAAGAAGGTCATGATTGTCCTCGGGCCAACTGAAATTTAGACAAGCATCTATATCATCACATAGTATTGCAAAATGTTCAATCGTATTCAATGCCACTATCGGTGCGTTTACGGTATTTATTGATAGATCGGATGTTGCAATTTCATCTATATTCGAATTACTGGCAGAGAATTTACTTTTACGCGTCCATTCTTCGATTTCAGCTTTTATTTCCATTGGATCAAGTGGTTCTAGATCAACTAACCAGTCTTGTATATCCATATCATCCTTCGGATCAGTATTTTGGTTTATATCTTTCGTTTCATTACGATTCAAATATATGCTTGAAGATGACGTAGAATGTAGTTCTTTTCCTCTAACATTCTCACAAGATGATGATGACGTGATTTCTTTTTCTTGTAAAGACGTAAAATTCATATCTCGCTCGGCAGATTGTTGATGACACCTACGTTTCGTATTTTGTTCCCAAATATACTTCTCAAAATTTACTTCTGACCGTTTTTTCCGTTCTTTCCTATATTGTTCGTACCATTGAAGTTGTTGTTTCAAATTATTTCTCGGAACAGTAATCGATTGCATATTTGGGGAATCAAAGTTATTACAATATTTGTAAACGCTTGAAAACCCCGATTTCAATTACCTTATTTAGCGCTTAAAGGTGAGGTTAAATCATGCATCAAGCTTATTTTCGCATGTAATACAATCTTCTAAAAAAGAAACAGCCAATCAGAGAGTTCAATTTTGGATAACTCGAGGTAAGAACGTCTCAAATATGGAAATGCATCCAATAGGGTTACACGATTGTCAAAAAAAATACTTTTTTTTAAGAGTTCAAATTTGAAGTATCTGTCAAAATATTGCTCCATTTGAAAAAAAATTTTTAAATTACATTTCGATATATAATAGAATATCTTTGAATTTTAAATATTATAAAAACGAAATACAGGCATAGATACAATTAAAAAAAGTTTTTTTATAGTAATTTACTATGAAAATTCATTTTTAATTGTATCTACGCCTATATTTCATTCTATTTTTATAGCGGTAGCTCTATTTTTTTATCCTTATTACTAAGTCATGTCACAAGATAAAATAATAATTTTATTAGAAATTGATTATTATATAATTTTATTAGAAATTGATTGTTATATAATTTTATATATTAGAAATTGATTGTTATATAATTTTATTAGAAATTGATTGTTATATAATTTTAATTACCGTAAAAGTTCATATACAAGACCCGGATCTTGTACATTTCACCAATTTTTAAACCCTTTAGTAGACCCGGGGCCTAGTACTCGCCCAGAGCTTATGACGTGAAGAAAAAATTTCTAAGTGCTTACACACCTTATATTTAGAATAGGCATTCTGGCTATTTGAAAAAACCCGCATTTAATTAATAAAGATTCCGTGGTTCATGCTCGGGTCTAATTCATGGTGGGTCTACTATTTTGGGGATCTTGTATATGAACTTTTACTGTAATTATTTTACTTATAGATGTCAAAAAATATTGCATCATTTAATTTATACGTCAATTATAAATGAAGTTATAAGTTTTTTAATATTTAAAATTCAAAGATATGCATCTATTAGATCTCGATCAATAATTTTTTTTCAAGTGATAGATACTGTATAACATATTCGGCTAATCCCCGTTAATTCCATAACTTTCATATTACGTTTCACTCGCCGAAGTTATAAGTAATTAACAACCACTACATACGCCGACAAAATCTCATTTGTTGTACAAAAAAGGATAAAAAAAAAACGTAAAATAACTACGTAAACAAATCGGATTTATCCATTAAGTCGCAATACGTACGACTAACTTTTATTAATAAGTTTTTTTTTTTATGTATAAGGTAACGGGAGGTATAATGGCGCACCTAAGAACAACTGATAATAAAATTTTCCAAGAGAGAGTTTATCACTTA